ATTATGTATTATATAATAAATAGAACTTAAATGGTCCATTCGGGAGGTGTGTAATTTCTGTAAGAGGTGAAAGTTTGAACCGTGCGTTTATCGAATTCTTACACGTTAATAGTCGTAGTAACGGGAAGACAGGTGTGTTTACGATCGGGCTTGAGGTAAAGGGCGAAGAATTTGGTGAATAGGCCGGAAGACACCGAGTCGAGCTACCAATCAGCTGGCTTTGTGTCAATTCAACCGAAAGCTGCGGCGCCGCGGCGGCTTCCCCTGTTTCTCACAATTCGGTCGAGTGTTGAATACTTGCGTCGAGTATCGAGTCAGTTGATCGCGAAGCGCGTTCGAGGTGACACGTTCATTTATCGATAGATCAAAAGGATTCGTCGGATACAGAACACTTTTTTTACATATGTGCGTTACGCGTATATCAGTTGCCTTGATTAATTTTGCATTTGTTTGTTGTACATAAACGTATATGTTATACGTAAGTATATCCTCGTTCATAAGATTGATTTACGACAAGATAATTGGTGATAAGGGCTTGGCGATTCATTTTTATCGTCACTCGATGAGGGTGAGAAAACTATCTGAGTGATCATTTACGTTTTGGGAACGTAGACAGCCCTTGGGCAAGGGAAAATGTGGGCAGTAGTATCAATTTCGCTCATTTCCGGCGGTGTAGAGGGAGAATAACGGCCCCAGGTGCGCAATAAACCGTAGGGATTGTAGCTCGCTCCCAAAACAAGGTTTATGGACCCCTCGACATAAATATTGTATCTAAATGGGAACAGCTTTTTCCTCGAAGCTCCTTAGTAAGGTTTACTAAAGTAAATCGCAAATGTTTAAACGCATTCACGTCTCCAATATTTAATCAAATCTTCTCCTCGATAATTATACCTTCTCCTCGATAATTATGTACTTTCTTTTAATTTTAGAAGAAATTTAATTAAACTAGTAGAATTGATTGAAAATTTTGTAAGATTGAAAATACTGAGATCCGGTTGGCAATCGAATGAATGGAGTCGTACTGCGCAGGGTCCGAGTCCTTCCCTGTTCCTTGGGGTTCCGTGACCCGGGGCGATTAAGATTAAGCGGTCCGGGCATCTTCTCACGGGAGATACCTCGCTCTAATTATACGTCTAGCTTGCTCCCGTAATCTGCGGTTTTATTGGCTAAATACGACCCGTCTTGAGGAAAACAGCCTAATCTTCGCGTCGTAGACCGATACTTCCACCAGTCCCTCGAATTGCCGTTTCCTGCCGCAGCTTCGCGTGGACGTCTCTCAAATTCTTTTTTTCTCCCCCCTTACAGAAATATCTGGTTAATTCAGCACTCAGTGTATTTCTCGTATCGCAAATTTTATACAATGTTAATCAATAAAGAATATTATATATTATATTTCGTTTAATGATTTTGTCACTATTACGAATTCGCACGATTAATCATATCTGACATGATTCTTGTCATTTGTTCCAGATGATGCAAACCAAGGACATTAATCAAGCTGCTTACGAACGTAGAGTAAGTTTTAATTAATGTACTGTATGAATCTCTGTATAATTGATCGTAATAACGTTAATTTCGTTAATTCATCATCGAATTTGATTAACAGTGGGATGTACCTGTTGTTGTATGTTACAGAAACGTTGGATCGATTCTCCTGGACGTAAGTACTTCTTATCTCTTGAACATTAAATCTTTGCTTTAATAACAAAAATTAATGAAAAAATGTTATATTGTTATATTGTTTCACGAAATGAGAATTATTTCCATTTGAACTGAGAACGGTTTCAAATGATTTAAGCAGTCATTATAAATTATGAGGGAAATTATACAAACTGTATAATAAGAATTATATTATAAATAAATAATGTTCGTATCAATGTTATCAACAATTTATAAATTAATAAGAATGGAGTATAAGTATACTCCATTCGTGCTAAGGAGAAGAGAATGCCAAACAGAATTGGCGAGTTTAAGTACGTGTGGCGCTTGTATATAAAAGACGATCTGATTAAACGACTGATTAAGTCGATTTTAATTTTCTAATTTAAATTAGAATAGATTACCATCTCGATTCTAAATAATTACTTAATTATGTACATTACGTAAAGCGTAATTAGACCATTCAAGTGAAAATTAAACCACTTACTGTCTAACTACCTAACGTTGATTCTGAATAATTAAATAAATAACATAATTTTGAAATTGTTGGATCGAAATCGAAATCGAAGGTCTGTGGAATAGAAACGTCTTTATAAATTCGCATGCACCGTACAAGGAGATCGGTAAGGAAGAAGGTTTCACACTGGAAGAAGGCGCCTCGACCTTCGAGTCGGGTCCCAGGGCCCGAGAGGAGGGGGCCCAAGAATCCTCTCGTCCGCCATAAACCTTGCGGTATCCCGCAGGTGGGGCGGTCCAGGCCCGAGCCGAGTGAGAGAGAAAGAGAGATCTAGTGCCCGCAGAGAGGGTTGTTCCCACCTGGCGTCTCACCTGAGGCCCGAGGCTCCGAGTGCTACGTAGCCGCTCGTACGAGCCGTGTGTGCCTCTCTCGCGTTCGACGCGAACTCCGTAAAATAAATCTCGTTGGGACCGTCGTCGCGCCGTGTGATCCACGTGAAAAAACGTGCCACCGAAATTCGTCGGGCACGTATCCCCGTTCCCGCGGTGCAACAGGTGAATCGGGAAACAGTTTCCTCCGGGATATCGCTCACGCGTCGAGACGAGTTCGCTGGATCGATTTCTCGGAAATGATCGATATCGGCAGGTACACTACCATCAATAAGTATCCAGGCTGATAAACGAACGTGCTGATACTGGAATTCGTTTCTGTAAAATAGCAATTGTACGTCTGTGCATATCAGTATGCGTCAAACATTCGCATTTACATAAGTTATCTCGACATTGGTATCGATACTACTGCGGATTTTAATGAATCTATTAATAAATCGTACGAAAATATAAAATATCGAAAGTGAACAGATATTTCAGTGGGTAGATAAAAGAAATTTCTACACAATTTCTCATTTTCCAGTCTAGATATCAGTATCTATATTAATATTGATATTCGAAACGAGGATTATTCGTTATAAGATATATGTACATATCAATCGTCGTCAGTATGTATTTTAATGAATATGATACGATAGTCAGGTTTCGTAAAATCGTCAATCAAATCGAAGTTATAGATACATATTTACATGAGTGTACATTAAAAAAAGTTTCCCAAAGTCGGACATACGTTCCGATCTTGAATGA